GTAGCTCCCTTCAGTGCCTCTGTTGGCCTTGCAATCAGGACTTGATTTATTTTTATTCCTCTTGATTTATCTACCCATCTTCCATGTTGTGACAGTTGCAACCTCGTTCCAACGAGGAGGACAACATACTGATATTTTAGTTACTGCTGGGGAGCCAACAGTGCAGGGTTGGATTGCTGATGCTGCACCTTGCCAATGTTCTTGCTCCTTTCCTCCAGTTTGATGCACAAGTAAATAACTCCTGTTTTTTTCCGTCTGTGGCAGTTGGAGAGCAAGTCACAGGCAGAGCTGTGTTCCTCCTGGAGTGTCAGGCATGGCACTAAGCAGCTGCATGTTTAAGGCTGGGGTTGAACTAACATTTGCAGCACGTTTTTTTTTCCTCAAGGCACATAAAGGCTTCTCTGTGGTGCTGCACCCCCTCTGCTTCCGGAGCAGCGTGAATGAATTGAGGCAGGTAGAGCTGATTGGGAATCTGTTCAGAGGGAAATAATCATTCCATGTCCCTCCTGGTCTGAGACCTGGTGGCTCCCACCTGTGTGTGATGCCTCTAACTGTGAGTGCTCTGGTTGAACAGAAGGACCTGGAGCTGGGGGCTGCCACCACAGCAAATCTGTGCATCCTGCCTGGAGGAGGAGGAGGAGGAGGAGGAGGAGGAGGAGGAGGATCGTCAGGGCAGCTGGAGCAGCAGCAGCTGGTCCCGCCGTGTCCCACTGTGTCCCAGCTGTGCTGATGGGGCAGGGCTGGAGGAGAATTTTGGAATTGCTTTTCTGATGCAGCACTGCCTTGTTTAGACCCAAGGCTGTGTCATCTCTCAGCTGTTCCGCTGCAGCTGGGGCTGGAATGGCTGCCAGTATCCAGGAGCTTTGGGTTCACTCTTGGGAATATCGGTTTGTATCAACGTGCTGTCAAGGGCAAGGCCAGTTGTACAGCTGGTTCAAAACTTTGAAGACCCTCAACAACAACAACTTGGAGGCTGCCCTGGCTCAGGGATTAGGCTGGAAAATGAGTGTTAACATGATGGAAGAGCTGTACTGAGTGACCTGGAAGAGGGAGTAGTGACAGGAGCTGAGGGGGAAAGTCTAGAAACAAGCACTCACAGGAGAGCTCTGGGGTAGGATCATTCCATTTGGTGGGAGCCATCCCCACCCCTGTGCTGGCTCAAAGCTCCTGGTGAGCTGAGCTGTGCCACTGCTGGATTGAACCTGAGCACCCCAACAGCTCCAGAGCCTGCACAGCCGGGTGTCAAAAGGCAAAGGAGCAGCCAGGCAGGTGTGGGTGAGCGACCTCCGAGCCTGTGTCAGCTGCAGAACAGTGAGTACAGGGGCATTTCCTGGGATAGCTTCTCATTGCTGGCATCAACACAAAGAGGGCTGTGTTCTTGGCAAGGAAAAAGTGGTATCAGTGACAGGGAGCATGACTGGGGCTTGTGGAAATAATCTGAATTTTGGACCAGTTGTAAGACAGGTCTGTGCTCAAGCTTTATGTGAGGGAAAATGGGTTCTTGGAGGATCTTGGAGAACACAGAATCGTGTCTTTCCACACTGGAAACCAGCATGTATCTGCCCACCCCACTGCACAGGTTCATGTAGAGATATGCTTGGGTTACAGCCGGGGTATTGGAGCCCGGTGATCCTTGCTCTGGGTGGGAGGGACGCAGAGCACCTGGGAACAAGGCGTGCCTGTGCAGCTCACGGGCTGCCGGAGACCGAGAACGTGTAGTGCGGTAAATCAGGTCTTTTCTGTGCCTCAGAAGGCTCTGCCGGCTGTGCCGCACGTCATGCCCGGATCCCGGGAGCGGTGCCTGGGAGCCAGCGCAGCTCAGCCCCTCTCGCGGGCGGATTTGCAGAGCAGCACTTGCCGGGGATGTTTCCCGGAGCAGTTGTCACCGCGGCTCTTCGAAAGATTCTTCTTCTGAATCCCCCTTTGTTGGTAAAGCTCTTCAGCTGCTCCCAGCCCTTGGCTCGCACGGCTGTGGCCTGGAGCTGGGCCCTGTGAAAGCCGCTTCTGTGCAGGGTCGGGGCTCTCGGGGACCATTCCCAGCCATCCCCCGGCGCTCTCAGGGACCGTCCCCGGCCCGGCGGGCACTGCAGGGAGGTTCTCCTCCCAAGAGAGGGCAGCGTGCTCATGCTGATGCCCCGCACGGGTCCAGCCCCACCCTGGGACGGGGATAGGGATGGGGTGGGAGTGCTGCGTCCAAGGGATCGCCCTCCCCGAGCCCCTCTTTGCCAGCAGATTCCCTGCTGGTCTCTCCCAGAGCCGGCGGGCAGGACCCAGGGCAGAGATCCCTGGCTGGGAGCCTGCCTGGCTGACCTGGAATGTGAATCCATCCCCTCCTGTCCCGGAGTGTGCGGCAGGCATTAATCTTGCCTTGAAAGTTGATAGGGGAACCCTACGGATACCTCTGTGCCTCCCAGGGGGAGCCTTGGCCAGAGACCAGGCCGAGTTTACTCCACCCAGTTCCCTCTGCAGAGCCATGGAGCGAACAAGTCGACACCACACGGGACCTGCTGAGCCCAGTTTCTGCCTGGGGATCATCCCTGTCAGGTCACATTCTGCAGGACAGTCAAGCTCTCACTCCAGGTCTGGATGCCGCTGATCCTGTCACCTCATTACTGCAGGAGGTTGGCTCTGTCAGAGCAGCTGGTCTGGCAGATGTGTCCTTGCTGGCTCTCAAGACCAGGAGTGTTGTTTTTCAGAGACATCCAAACCCTGCAGTTCTCACAGCTCCTATGAGTGCAGCAGGTTCCAGCAACTTGACAGTGAATCGCTGCAGGTCCAGAAGCCGCTAATGAGCATTCCTGAGGCTCCTGCTGATTCCCGTGTCAGGGATCCTGAGCTCAGGAGAAGCTGTTGCGGCTCTTATTTTAAGGCAGTGATAAATCCTGCTTGGGAGGGTGCTCGATGAAGTGCTCTGTGCTCCGTGCTGGGTTAATGCAAGCCACATGCTGCTGCATTCCTGAGCGGGCAAACACCCTCCAACAGACTTCCAACCAAGAGCCATGGAAAATGTGTACTGCCAGGGGGAAAGAGCAGGAGGTGTCCTGGATGTTGACAGTAATCGAGGGCACTGTGACAGCTGGAAATCTGTGCATCAGTGTGTAAGGCCAAAACACCTCCTGAGTCACCCTGCCAGCAGCTCACAGTGGCCACTTTCTGTCAGTCTCACCCAAAATCCCTCTTTGGGCTCAAAATTGACACTCCACGTGAACGCAGGAGCAAGGAAGGACCTGGTCCCTGGAATTCCCCCACCCTGGTTCCATCTCTAGCCATGAGCAATTTCCAGGGCTCAGGGGAAGCCTTCTAAAGCAAGTGACGCACTGGACTTGGGATGGTGCCTTTGTGGCTGCTGGGATTTGGACAAGTAGGGAGAAGAAGGGACCTAATATATATCAAAAACCCTGCTGAACCAAACAGTGCCCTAATGCTGCCAGTCTCTGGGTGTTTTGTCCGAGCTCTGGAGCAGCTCTGATGATCAGGGCCCAGGAAATGCAAAGCTCTTCGGGACAAGGGGAGATAAGTACCGTGGCTGGTTGTTACTAAGAATACAATTATCCATACGCAAACGATTGCCTGCCTGATAGGATTACCAATAAAGACAAACACAGGGAGGATCATGGCTTCACTTCCTTCCTCCCACCCCGGGGATTTAATCCCATCTTTGTTTGTGTTTTTTCTATAGCCAGTCAATAAAAAACTCCGCTTCACTTCTGGCGATGCCCTCTAAGTTTTTTCCCTGGAGGAAGCTTTGGGGGAGAATTCCCATGTCTGCCCTCCTTGCATGCAGTTGGGAGAAAGCTCCGTGCTGGTTTTACCCTGGCAAGGAATAGCTTAGGCCTTCTAATTTCAGCCTGCTTTGTAAAAGGTTGGCTAATCCTCCCAGCAGTGTTGAGAGGCAGGAAATCCTTGGTGGTAGAGTCTGGAAGGACCTGACAACCCCTTGGCCAGCCTCCCTGCCAGCCTGTGGTAGGTTCTGGGCACATCCCGAATTTTGAGCCTCCTGTTTTCCAGACCCCCAGGAGGCTCTGGCAGCCCAGCTGCTCTCAGCACCCACTTACCTGGTGGGTGAGACAGCAGTTTATGGCACAGATGCACCATTGCAGCTCCTGGGGAAGGTGGAGCGATGCTCCAAAGCTTGGCGTGGATGTGCTGCCAGATGCTCCTCACCCAGGGGAGTCAGGACAGCCTTCCTGGCCCTGCCAGCCCCTCCACTACCCAGCCAAGGGCTAACAAGGTGCAAATGGCCATTAAACACTACCCCGAGGCCAGCTGACACCCCAGCCTGTCGGAGCTCAGCAAGCCATGGGTGCCTGCCTGCCCACTGGGAGCATCTCAGGAGACAGACAACTTCCCAGTCAATGGTTATGAATGGGACCTGTTAATGAGTGGCAGGACAAGAGGAAGTGTCCTCAAGTTGTGCCAGGAGAGCTTTAGATTGGATATCAGGAACAATTTCTTCACTGTAAGGGGGTCAGGCATTGGAACAGGCTGCCCAGGGCAGCGGTGGAGTCACCATCCCTGGTAGTGTTCAAAAACGTGTGGATGTGGCACTTGGGGACATGGTTGAGTCGTGAACGTGGCAGTGCTGGGTTAATGGCTGGACACGGTGATCTCAGAGGTCTTTTCCAACCCAAATCATTCTAGGATTTGACGATACGAGTCTGCCGACCGTTCTAGGAATGCTTTTGTGAATGTAGGGCAGTGTTTACTGAAAGATCCTCGAAGATCCCCGTGTCCCAAGCTGGACGCTCGCATCAGGCAGAGCCGGGCTGCTTGCCCCGCAAACCTTCCTCTGCCGGTCCCCCCGTCCCAAATCCCACCCCTGTGTGCGGGTGGATGCGGGTGGCGCATCCCCGGCGCGCAGGAACCGTCTCTGGCCGGCGGCTCGGTGCGGGAGGTGGGTGCCCAGGCCGGGAGGGCCGGGGGGGGCCGAGGCGGTGGGCAGGGCCGGGCGGATGACGCCGGGCAAAGCCGTCCGAGAGCCGGCCCAGCCCCGCCGCCGGCCCAGCGCTGCCCGCGCACCCCCCGCGGCCGCGCAGTCGGGTCGAGCGGGCTCCGGCGGCAGGGCAGGATGGACCTGGCTGTGGACTTGTACCTGGCCGTCCCGCTGCTCTTCACCGTCCTGGCCATCGTCCTCGCCTCCGTCTTCGTGAGGCTGCGGGGAGGCGGCGGCGAGCGGGCGGCGGAGCGGCCCCGGGAACCCGCGGCGGAGCCCGCCCGGGAGGGCGGCCCCGGGGGCGAAGCGGCGGGAGCGGCCGAGGGACCGGAGGACGAGGGGAGCCGGGTGCCGGTGGAGGAGGTCGGGGCGGGCGAGGAGGGGAAGGAGGCGGTCGCCCAGCAGCGGGAGGCGGCGGCGGAGCCGGGCCCCGCGGCCGAGCCCAGCCCCGCGGCGGCCGAGAGCATCCTCCGGCAGGCTCCCCCAGAGCCCCGGCAGGCTCCCCTAGAAGCTCGGCAGGCTCCCCCAGAGCCCCGGCAGGCTCCCCCAGAACCTCGGCAGGCTCCTCCAGAGCCCCGGCAGGCGCCCCAAGAGCCCCATCAGCCGCCCCCCCCGGAGCCCCGGCAGCCCGACCACCGAGAGGATGCGGAGAGCAAGGTAAGGCCGGCTCCCCGCGGACCCTCCCCCGGGGTCCCCGCAGCCGGTGTCCCCTCCATCCCCTACCTCCCAACCCCGCGGTGTTCCCTTCCCCGTCCCTCCGGAGCAACTCGGGAGGGATTTTCCCCTAAAACAGGAGAGGTCCCGGAAAAACCCGCGGTTTTGTCTTCGGGAGGACGAGACAGTTGTCCCAGGGGATGGCAGAGGTTTGGGGGGAGGTTTCTGGCTCCTTCCCACTCCCACCCTCCAAGGAATGCTTCTAAAAACAATCAAGATAGTGAAGATTTAAGGGAAGAGAGTGCGAGCCTCTCCTGTCTGCACATCTAACCCCTGGGTGTCTTTTCCTTCCCCCAAGGGCTTATCCAGGTGCTGGGGAATGTGCGTGTGTTTATTCTTCTTGTCTGCATCCCCTTTCTGTGGGGAACAGCAAACTGTCCCGGGCTCCTCACGCTGTCCCTGGCTGGCTGTCCTTGCCTGCCCCAGGGAAGGGACCGCCCCACTCCCTCCCAGCCCCAGCAGGATGCTGGCCCCAAGGTCTGACCCCTGGCTGAACTGGGGGGGCTGGTGGGGGCAGTGATGCCTATAAACGCACGGTAAATCCTGTTCCAGCACCGGATCTTGTTTAAAAATAAAAGGGCGACCCCGTGTCCGTGGAAAGATCTTGTTCTGCTCTTGCCCAGCTCAGATGGGAGTCGGTGACACCCCAAAGTGCCTGAACTCCCTGTCTTGGTGACTTCCTCCCACGTGGCACCTTGCCCCAGTGGAGGGAATTGAGTAGTGGGGTGGCTCAGGAATCCAGGAGCGATGCCTCATCCGGGTGGCAGCAGCGCGTTTCAGCCGGGGAGCTCAGGCCTGGGGCCCAGGAGCCTCCTGGCTATTATTAGCAGCATTTGTAATCCTCAGCAACTGTATCCAGGCTGCCAGGCAGTGCGCAGACAGCCCTCGCCTTGGAAAGCATCTCCACTGACTCACTGGATGGCCTTGTCCCCGGGGGCAGCCCCCCCTCCTTGCTCTGTACTGTGGTGCTCTGCAACACCCAGGGGTGAGCCCTGACCCGCTCATTCCTGGGGCTGGGACGTGGCTCTTCTTCCCTGTGCTCCTCCTCACCTCCCCTGGTGGTTTCTGAGCCTCGGAGCTCTCCCTCTCCCCTTCCTGGCACCCCTTGGCCACGGTTACAGCTCTCGAGCAGCCCCCTCCCTCGTCCTGGTGTCCTGAAAGCCACATCTGTTTGTTTGTCGTGTGATTTATTGGTGCCTTTGAGTACCAGGATCTCTGGAGAGCTCCTGGGCCACTGTTAGCTGGCTGGATCCTGGCTGGGCCAACTTGGCTCCAGCGCTGGCCACCAGCTTGGGATCAGTGCAGCATCCTCTGGGATGGATGGCTGTATCCCGTGCTGCCAGGGCTCAGGGGTTCCTCTGCTGCCTCGCTAGCTCAAGCCTTGGGAATGTTTTCCTCCCCTCTGGCTGCCCTTCAGTCCCCGATTGCTTCGGACAGGCACTGCAGAGAAGATTGTTGCCTTCAGAGAAGGGCTCAGCTCCTTTATCCCCGCTCAGCACAGGTGCAGTAACAGGGTTTAGCATGTCTGGAAGGGAGTTCTTACTCTGGGCTCAGGGAGTCTTGTGTCCTCCAGAAGCCTGGCTGGGCTCTGGGGCATTGGGGGTCTCCTCACTGCCCTCAGCCCCTCTTACAGCAAAGGTGGCACTGGAGCTGAGGAGGGTCCTGGAATAGCCCTGAGAGGTTTTCCTCCTGGGAAATGATTACCTCACTGTGGGAGCAAAGCAGGACAAGTCACCCTGGACCTGAGCAGCATCCCCCTGGGAAGGACAGGGAGCAGACGTGTGCGGTCTGGGTGGTGGCAGGAAGCAGTGGGAAAGGGGAGGGATGGTTCTCACTGCTGAGTAAGTGTTTGGGAGCTCTGGCCCGCGCATGATCCCACAGCTGCCAGGCCTGCTGGGTGCAGGCTGGGCCGGGCTGGCTGTCCCACGGGCACGGGTGGCACAGTGGAGGCAGTACGTGGGTTCCAGCAGGCACCACACACGTGTGTGCCCAGCTGCTGATCCAGGGGCCGATCCCATGGGCAGAATGGAGGAGGCCATCCATGGCTCTGCAGTGTCTCCCTGGGTTTCCTGCTCTTGCTCCCTCAAACTTGCTTCATCTTCTTCCTCCAGGCCCAAGCCCAGCAGGTATTACAGGGTGGGACTGGCCCTGGGCAGAGCTGTGAGTGCTTTGCATGCAGCTGCTGATGGAACTGTGCCCTGTCCAACCCATCTTGGCTGGGCTGAGGGCTGCGGTCCCCTGATGTGACTCAGCAGATGATGCTCCCAGACCTCGTGCTGGCGTTGGTTGGGGGCTGCTGCAGGCTCGGGGCTCCTCAGTACATCAGCAAGCAGAGGGCTGCGCTCGCCACTTGGAGAGCTTCCTTTCCTTATTTTCTTTCCTTAATTTCATTCCTTGTTTTCTCTCCTTCCTGTTTGCTCAGCACGTACTGTGCCGGGCTGGTTTGGATTCACCGCAGCCATTAACCACTCGACAGAAATGCTGATGGATGAACCTGCTCAGGGAGGGCAGCCTTGGTGTGTTTAAATGACTGGCTGGAGCCGTGCATCCCTCTGCATCCCTGCTTCCCTTCTCCCTGCCAGGGCAAACTGGGACCTGCTGGGACAGCTGTGTGACACAGCCTCCCTCCTGCTCCCATCTCCTGCAGGGCTGGTGAAACCAGTGTGGGTTGAAGCTTCCCTGCCCCTGTGTAGTGACCAGACCATTGCAGCCTCGTGGCCAGGGCTACAAAATGAAGCAGCGGCAGAGCAGGGAAAGGAGTCCTTGTTTCCATTAACTGCTGATAGTGGTTCCCCTTGTCTCTGCTGGCTCCCATCACTGAAAAAAAGTTAATTAGTCTGTCGTTGTCTGTTCTCATCCCCATTCCCAGCTTGTTAACGGATGAGGCAGTGCTGTCAAAGCAATCCCCTAATGAAAAGCTGTTGGGTGGGAACAGCAGCGTCGCTGGAGATGCAGAGCGTGGTCCTTGTGAGAAACGGTCAGAAACTTCAATTCTCTAATGAGTAGTTCTGTCCTGGAAATGGTGGCAGGGACAAGGCAGGGGTTTCAGTGCTGTTCCAGAGCCACCTCTGGGATGTCACCCTGGCCAGAATGTTCTGGAGATGAGGAGGGTGAGCGGGCAGTGCCAGGCTGTGCTGGGCACGGCAGCCTGGCTGGATTGCCAAGGGTTAACTGCAGCTGGGGGCTTCCTGCAGAGCAGGGTCAAGTGGGTGACAGCAGCAGAGAGGGGACATGCAAACCCTGCCTGAGGGGGGCAGCTGCAGGACCGGCACCTGGGTAGCAAAGGCACAAAGGCTCTGTCATCTGTCTCTTCTGCCAAGGTCCTGGCACCTTTCCCCTGTGCTCCCCACCTTCCCAATCTGCGCCTTCCTGGGGGCTCACAGGGCCCTCTGGGCACACCAGGCAGCACAAACCACCCAGCTCCCAGCAGGGACCCTCTTTACATTTAAAAAAATCAGCATCTCCCCCTCTAATGCCTCTTTCTTGCCTTCCCTGTGCCGGAGGGGAGAGGATGTCTAATTAAGTCTGGCTTTAATTGGCAGCTGTGTAGGCTGTGTCTGCACCACCAGTGGGCTGGGGCAGGAGCTCCATCATCCCACAGTGTGCTGGGAAGGGATGTGGCGGTGTGCTACCCTTTGTCACAGCCCTGGCAGTGGCAAAGGCCCCCACCAGGGAATGTGGGGCTCCCCAGCCAGACCCTGATTGCTCAGATGTGCTCAGCTCTCATACAGAGCAGTTTGTGCTGATGACAAATGCATCATCTCTTGCAGTAGCTGAAAAATGGGAAGCAAGACAGGACATGTGTCACCCCCCAGGGAGCCTGTGCACGTGTCCTGCCATGGGGCTGGAGCACAGGGCTGGTGCTGGGACGTGCTGTGGGGCATGGGGGCATTGGGGCTCTATGTTGTGTCCCCTACATGAGTCCAGAAGGTTTGGCTGCTGCCCAGTTCCTGCTGGGCTGGGTACAGCCCTGGGCTGGCACTCCTGGAGCAGAGGCCACGAGGACTCTTTGCCTCCTGAAGTGCCCATCCATGGGAACAGCTGCCAGGCCAGCTTTCCAAGTGAGGGCTGGGTTTTCCTGCCCCTGCTCTCAAGGATAACATCTGGCTGATCTGGGCAGCAAGGGATGTCCTGGTGTGTGGTGTTTGCTGGCCACAGGCCGGGGCAAAAAGGGGAGATGGTTCTTGAGCTTTGGCAATGCTCTGTACACCCCGTGGCTTGTCCTTTCCACTAGCAGTGAAAGGGGAAGGGGCTGGAGCAGATGCTCCCACACTTTTTGGGGGGGGTCAGACCTGCAAAGCGGCATCTCCATGTGAGGCACATCCCTGCCAGGCACCCTGGAGCTGGCAGGACCATTGCCAGGGCTGGAAAACTGCTCTTGTTCTGTAGCAGCTGCTTCTCTGGCCAGGGGGAGGATGGAGAGCCCCAGCGGTGGGGTGAAGGGGAGCTGCTGACACAGCAGCTGCTTTGCTTTGCTAAACTCTGCCCAACATTATTATTTAGTCTTTTTTTAAAAGGCTTCTTTCTTCCCCTTTTCTCCTGGCTTCTCTCTTTCTGGCTGTCTCTCCCCTGTCTGCTTTCTTTCTCTCTTGCAATGTCTTGCATCAGGCTTGGAGCAGAAAGTGCAGCCATAAATGGCAACACACGGGGCCCAGGAGCTTAATCCAAGATAATTTTCTCTTGCTTTGCGGCCTGAGATCTTACCTTTTCCTGAAGCTGGAGTGGGGCACTTTGTCCCTGACGTGCCCACAGGTGCCAGGGCTGTCCCTTTGACTAAGGAAAGGGAGAGGGACACACCAGCCCCGTGGCCTCCTCATGTCCCTTCTGAGGAGGAAGCTGTTGCTCAGAGGTGTTTGCACCAGGGATGGAGGAAGTGGGGAGGAAATGGCCAGAAATGAGCTGAAAACCAGATGATGCTGTGATGGGGAGCTCGGCTTCCCATCTCCTGTGGGGGTGTGAGAAGGGCTGGTGGTGGCAGAGCCATGAGGGGGGATTTTGGGGATATGATGCCAAGCTCCTCTATCTGAGCCATCTTCTCCTCAGTCCTGGCAGACTCAGGGCTGTCCTGGTCAGTGTCTGCATCCAGAATGTCTCGGAAGGTTTTTTCCTCACTCTGCTTTGGTCCAAAGCCCCCTCTGACAGACTCATGGCCACGTCTCCCTCGTGGCTATGAGCTAAAGGGCAAAAGCACTTTCGTGATGATCCAACAAATGCTTCGCCTCTGCAGCCAAGAGCTGCCAAAGGCCGAGGCAGATGGATGGCTGCCTTGTTATTTAAGGTAGATGACTTGCTGGATTTTAACCCGGAGCTTTTCAGAGCCCCTGGCAAGCCGTGCAGAGGTGTGACTCAGAGCGAGCGGGCACGGGGTGTGCTGCGGAGTGGGCTGGGTCCATCCTGCCTGCGAGCAGGAGCAGGCAGGGAGCGTTCCCAGCCCCGGGGCCGCGCAGCTGCCGCCGATCGCGTCCCCTCGCCGGTGCCGGCGGCAATGAGGTCTTTGTTTGCCGCAGCAGCTGGACCGGGCGGCCCGTGTCAAGGCTCCTCCAGATGCTCCCGGATAACGCCGTTCGCGGGCTCCCCGCGGGGCTGCTTCTCGCCTTTTTTTTTTTTTTTTTTTTTTTTTTTTTTTTTTTTTTTTTTTTTTTTTTTTTTTTTTTTTTTTTTCCGCGGGGAGGTTTTCATGGTCCGTGTGCACCGTGGAGAGAGGTGGGCTGCTGGCTGGAGCACTCAGGTCCCGTCTCCTCCAGCACCTCCTGCTGCCATTTGGCCCTGACCCACTCTTCACTCACTCCCCACCGCTTGAAACGGTTTTGGTGCATTTCCCCCGGGCTGTGCCTCCTTTAGGACAGTAGAGCCTGTGGTGCCATGGTGTCCTATTTGGTTGTCAAGTCTCACAGTGTTGTCCTAACGCCTCCCCCTCCTTTTTTTGGATGCTGCCCTCCTCCCAGAGCATCCCATGGCTGGGACACAGCTCTCCCCCTCTCCCGGGTTGGCAGGGGCTGTGGGCACAGCCAGGCTCGAGGTGGGGCTTTGTCCCTGCGGGCCGTTTCTCCAGCCAGCCCAGGGGCCGCTCCCAGCCCGGTATTTCGCTGCAAGGCCATGGACACGATGTCCCTGCTCCCTGCCCACGCAGATCCTCCTCCACGGCCGCCCTCCTGGCACAGCAGGGAAAGGCTCAGCTGAGAAGCGTTTGGGCAGGGGAAGGCAGGCTTTGCACGGAGGTCAGGCCATCCAGAGCCTGGATGGGGGGCTGAGAGGGCTGGGAAGCCTCATCTCCGGGATTGCAGGGAGATGGGAAGGTTTCCGGGGGGTATTACGGAGAAGGCAGCTGGCAGAGCAGGCCCTGAAAGCATTAACGATCTGAGCATGCTGGGTTGTTCTTCTCCTCTCCCCTCCTGCCAGTCCTGATCTGCTGCATCAGCATCCTGGGAAGTTGCCTCCAGCCCTGCCAGGACACACAGGCAGCCGAGCCTGGCACTGGCAGAGCTGCTGCCCCTCACTGATGGCTCCTTGCACTGGTCCCAGTCCCGCAGGCTGGGGCTGCCACAGAGAGAAACTCATGAGCTACAAGCCCTGGCTCCAGGGCTGGGCACTGGAGACCTCTGGTGTTCCTCACTCCAGCAGCCATGCCATGGCTTGGCACATGGATGAGAGCCAGCACAGGCTTGGGCATGGGGGCAAGATGGTCTACTGGCCACATCCAGAGACTTGTCCCCATGTGCTGATACTGCCAGGGCTGGTTGGTTGAGCACGGGGAGGGTTCAGGGGTGTTTGTGCTCAAAGCCTTTTGCCTTTTTCCAGATACCACCATTGGGTGCCTCACCTGGATCCAGCCTCGGGCACACAGGACAAGCAGAGGATGTGTGTGGCCATGCAACGCTTCCCAGCCATGCAGAGGTGTGTGGGATGAAGATCCAGCCTGGGGAGGGTGGCACAGCAAACCCTGCAGGGTGTCCCCTTGCTCCGGGGGAGGGCAGTGAGTGGGGTCACACTGAGACAGCGGGGGGGACTCTGGCAGGGGGGCAGCAATGGCTGCAGGAATGAGCAGCCCTGGCAAGACACGGGGACAGGGATGTTGAGGCTGGAACTGTGGCATGGGGGGAAGGGAAGTGCTGGCACCTGCCCCTGAGCCATCCAAGCAGAAAAATGTTGGGCTGTAGGGAGCTCCTGGCTGCCACGGCACATTGCTGTCGCCTGCCAGCCTGGCTTCCCTGGCTGCTCCCTCTGCTCCCAGCAAATGTTCCTTTCTCTATGTTGGAGCAGAGGTATTTTCCTTCCTTGGAGGTCTGGCACCCAATTTCCTGCTTGCTTCCATTGATAATTGCTCAGAAATGCTCAGTTCCTAATGCCCAGGCAAGGAACAGGCTAAAATCTCTCTTCTTGTGTCAGGTCCTCAAGGATGTCCCTAGGGGTGTCCTGGCTCACAGGGACACATGGATGCAATGGGGAATTGCTGCCCTGGACTGGTGGATGAGTCACCAGGGCTGAGCATTCCTTCCTTTCACCCCCCCTGAGGCTGCTCCTTTGGGTGCCTCCCCAGCCATCCTCAGGGAGAGTCCGTGTGTCCAGCGGGAAGTGCCCATGTTTGGAAGTGTGGCCCAAAATAGCAGTGACTGCTGTGGGCGGGGGGCTCGGTGGCATCTCCTTCTGGGGAGCAGGGTGGCAAGAAGAAGCCAAATGGCTGTGAATAGTGCACATTCCTCCCCGATGACAAACTAACCGAGTTCTGGGCTGGGGCCACGCTCCAGCAGCTCATCCACAGCCAGTTCTCAGCTCTGTGCGTGGTCCTTCTTAGATCAGCTCTGTTTCCCTTGGGTCTCCTTCACCCCATCTTTTCCCATGTGCCCCTTGATACCGTGGTGGCTCAACAGCCTCTCTCCATGCTCCTTCCCCTCTCTCCCATGTGCTTTGCCCTTTGCATGCCAGCCCATGGGATACACTGGGAGGATGCAGGAGGACATGTGCCCCAGGGTGCTGGTGGCCCTGGGCTCGGCTCACAAGGCTTAACAGCCAGGGGCACTGTGCTCTGCAGGAGGAACTCACACATGCAGGGGCTCTGCCATGTGTCCTTGACTTATCTCCAGAGCTGGAATGCTCCTCTCCCTCCCTGCTTGCAGTTTGCATGACTTTCTGCAAGGGAAAGGAATCTGGGCTTGATAAAGCTTGTAGTAGCTTGTAGGAGGCAACCCCAAAACTTCCAAAATTGCTTTGGGTTTAAAAAAAACAAAAAAAATCCACCAAAAATGTTCTGTTGTTGCTCCTGTCTGTGCTCCAGAGATCAACTCTAATCTGCTGCCACCACAGTGTGTGAGGGTGGGCACCTCTTGGAGGAGCGAGAGGCTGGGGGTGCATGGGCAGGAGCCAGTGGTGTCTCTGGGGGGTCCTGCCAGGTGAGGCTGGAAGGGCTCCTGGAGGGGTCTCAGCACAAACCCCCAGCACTGGTTTGACCACTGGTCCCGACTGGTGAGTGCTCCTGTGCTTTGCAGCAGCTGCTTGGCCCGTGGCTGCAAGGTGGCTTTGGCTGGGGACCCTTCCCAGCTCTGGGACAGTCTGTGCAAGCCTGGCCTGGGGGCACACAGAAATCCCCGTGGCTCAGTCCCCTGCACATCCCTGGACAGGGTGGGGAGCACAGTGGGTGCAGCCCTGGAGGGTGCTCAGGCTGTGCCTGGGGACACCAGGATAGCAAGTTCTTCCTAAAAACCTTAATATCCCCTCGATTATGAGGAGGCATTTGCAGTCTTCAGCCTTTGGGTGGGCCAGATCCCCCTGACTGATTAGTGAGGGGAAAGCACAGTAATGAACCTCACTCATTAGCAATCATCCTTTTGGCCCATTCCATGGAAGAAGCAGGAAAAGGGCATCCAGCCCTCGCTGCGGGCTCTGCTTCCCAGCCCTGAGGGCTCTGGTGCCTTAAGCAAGCACAGTTATTTAGCACAGCACCTTCTCCTCATGGCTGCTCTGTTTTTAACTCCTCCAGGAGGAAGAGGTGGACTCAGAAAACGAGAAGCTGGTGGTGAGAGAGCCCGAGGATGAGGATGGTGAGTGCCAAGCAAGCCAGCACCCTGCAGGGAGGGTATGGACAGGTCTGAACCATCTGGGGATGGTCTCCTTCCTCCAGGAAACGGAGAAGAAATTCCTACCCCTGTTTGCTTCCCAAAATGCCCTTGGGCTGTTTGCTGTGGGGTAGCTTCGTGAGGCAGCTGCCCCAAAAGCTCCTTGCTCACATCCAGGACAATCTCCGGGGGCTTTGGTCAGAGCCACGTTTAACTGATTAGCCAATTAGTTGATTGGAAAATGATTAATTGGCTAAGTGGGGTGACAACTGCTGCACTCCTAAGAAAATGAAACAGATGGTGCCCAAGCAGGAATGTGTGTCTGAAGGAGACTCTTGCTCTCCTGAGCAGCCCTGGCGGTGCTGGGATGTCCCCAGGAGTCCTGGCTGGGGATGGTTGGGGCCAGCTGGGGCAGCAGGAGAGCTTGGTGTGTTCCCCCTTCCCTGCCCCACTTTCTGCTTGGTCGTTTTAAGGTGCTGTGTGGCAATCCCCCGGCTTGGGAGGATTATGCCTAATGCTACAGAGAATCAAATTTTAATCTTGGTGCCGTTCCTGCAAGGTGGGGGAAGCGCTTCTTGAAGCAGGGTTCCCAAAACACACCTATCCCACCCTGTTAGGCTTCCTTGCAGCGCTGGTGATTGGGGATGTTACCACACAGGGCTGCAGGAGATCTGATTTGAGGAATGATGGATTTATCCTGCCAAGTGGATGCTCTGCTGGGCTCTGCCTCCTTGGGTTCAGCTCTGTTTCAGGGCTGCTCTGACACTGCTGGGCATGATCTTGAAGTGGCTGTGGCTTGGGATCAGGAGATGACAGTCCCTGGCTGTGAGTCCAGGCTAGCCCAGTATCCTCCCCAGGAATCTCCTGCAGACAGCCACCAACTCCCCTCCTGAATTATTCACACCATTCCTGAAGGGTTTTATGATGGGACTGGGCAAAGCGATGGCTTGGTGGGATGTGGAGGCAAGTGGGATGCAGCTGGGAATACTGGCACTGCCCTGGCTTTGCTGGGATCAGCTTCACTCCTTCCTTGAGTGACAAAAGCCACTCTGAGCAGCCTTTCCCCTCACTTGGGGCCGGGAGCACATGTGGAACACAGAGCAAGCATGTTTAGGGGAGAGGTGCACTCTTGGGGCTGCTCTCACCCTGCCAGCTCAGGGTCACAGCGCTGGCAACGTGAGGGCAGAGAGATGAAAGACAAATGTTTTCTTTAATATGAACTCACAGATGCTCTGAGTAAGTAGGTCACCTCCTATTTCTGTAGTGTTTTCCCTGTCTGCATGAAAACCCAGCCTCCCCTTATTCTGAGTGTTTCCTGAAGTTTGTTTTCGACCTGCAAAGAAAGTTCCCGAACTCAGAAAACAGCCAGAGGTTTCCAAAGCCGCAAACTGGGTCCTTTTTAACCACACCATGTGGGCAGGGAGAAGGGGAGTTTCTCTGCCTGCCTCTTCCCTTATTATTTTCTGGTGAGGTGGCAACTAAACTGCCCTTTTGGGACCAGGCAAAACCCCAAATTTCAGTTTACTTGGCAGAATACCACGTGAGGGAAACAATCTGAATTGTCCTTGAAAGCAGGCGAGCTATACAGAGGTAACAAAACAGCTCCTGCTCTGCACCAGGGTAAGGAACAGGATGTTACACCCTCTTTTCTTTTTTTTTTCTTTCTCCTAATATCTCCCAAAGCAGCAGCCAGATGAATTTTCTTTCCATGCACTTTTATGGCCCTCCAAAGGGCTGATAAGCTGCAGCATTACTGCTTGTTTCCAGCTGGCCAGGTTTGTTTGTCTGCCCATGGGGAGGGTTTTCCCACAGAAGGAAGTGGGATATGGCCGAGCTGAACGTTTGGGGCCGAGGGACCAGAGCATTGGGCTGCTTGTGTTGGGACACTTGTGGTGATGGTAGGGAAAGGGTTGCCTTGTTGCTCCCCCAGGAGCTCTGATGGCATTTTGGGATTAGAGAAACACTCCAGATCAGTACCTGAGCTGTAACCCACCAAGACTTCCCAGGGAAGCTCCCCAAGACCAGGAGCATGGAGCTGTAAAGAAGTGAGGAAATGTAGATGTCAGTACTGCTCATTTCTGAGATCTCTGGTCTCCTCACCTATGAGATGAGGCTCTGACTTGCCTTTTACATGGCAGTCCCCAAGGTCTGGCAGCGGCTGAATGTGTGCACGAGCTTGGGGTTGGAGAAATGCCTACATCAAGCAGCTGATCTCAGACACAGGGAGAAAAATCCTTAAGGGCAGTATTTATCGGAAAACAGAGGGGAAGCTGCTGATGCTGAATCCTTCTGGGTGAGGAAGGGAGGAAAGGGGCTGTGAGGTGCCTTTCTTTTGGGCAAGTGCAGGAGGAAAAACTTTTGTGAATGTGGTGCCCACAATAGCAGTAGAGAGGATTAGGAGGGGCTTCCTAAGTGACTGGGGGCAGAGGATGGGCCCATGGGTTATATGCAAGTCAGAGCTTTCTCTCCTGCCACAGAAAACAGGGGAGTTTCACCACTTTTGGAGCCCTGCTGGTGCTGGGACATATCATCCTCCATATCTGGTTTGTGCATAATGTGCAATTTTGAGGGGCCATGCAGATAATGCAATAACGTCTTTGTTTTGTGCACCCCTTGGAAGTATCTCCAGAGCTCTGAGGGATGGGGGAAGTGGCAGATGTTTCTGGGTGGATGTGGAAACAGCAGTGCTGGATGGCTGGATGTGAAGCAGCTGAGTCCTGCAGTCCTTGAGAGATAAAGGTTCCCAGATAAGCAGCCCACAGATAACTGGTAAAGGCGACTACCCAAAGCAGCCGCTCCTCCTGGGCCGCCTTTTGGATTGACCTCCCCTCCTGTTGTTTCCTCCCATCTGTAGGAAGATAAAGCAGGGGAGAGAGGTTTTTAAAAGCAAATAGTGCTCGAGCAAAATCCGATTGGAAAAGGATCGGCTTTGGCTCAGGGTCTGTGAGCTTTGGTGCTCTAATTAGCACAGGGCTGAGGCTGGCGAGCTGGGTGGGAGAGCATCCTGGCCTGGAGAAGGAAACCATGGTTTCCTCTTCAGGTCTTTTGGCTGGTGACAGAGGGACTTGGACCCAGCTGTGTTGGTGCTGCCCTGGCTCAGTGCTGTTTGCAGTCCTGGAATTTGCCATCTGGCATCTCCTTTCTTCACGAGCTTTGTCAAGGGCTGCCAGGAGCTGCTGGGCTACGTGGCCTGGGACAGCTCTTCGTGGCACCATTCGTGAGCCCCAAGCATGGGAAAGGGCCCCTGGACAGGAGAGGGAGGGAGGGAGGAGGAACGCGAGTCTGGAGAGGAGAAGTGGAAAATGCCGAGAGTTAATCAGGGCAGGATTAGCATGTCTTGATAAGCCAAGATGGGCTTGCAGGGCTTTGAATCCAGGGAGAACAATAGCATATGGTTCCCGTGCTTTAGGATTTACTTGGATCTGCTTCCAAGCAGGCTGCTCGCTCGCAGCAGCCCTCGTTGTTTCCAGCGCTGGCTGCAGCCGGGACTCCTGCCATGCTCTGGCCAGCAGCACCTTGGCTGTCCTCTGCAACCCACAGTGCTTCCCTGACTCTGCCTGGGCTTTCTGGAGACTGGAGCTGACTCAGGAAGTGTGCTGGGGTGGCCACAGCCTTTGGGCTGCAGGAGCAGAGGTCGGAGATCATCCCGAGGGAAGAGCCCCAGCGCTGTTGGTTGTGCTCTGGGGAGGTCTCTGGTTCACAGATCCCTTGCTCTTTTTTGTCTCCCCTCTCCAGCTGCAGATGAGACGTTCTCTTTTAAATACAGTCCTGGAAAGCTGAGGGGAAACCAGTACAAGTCAATGATGTCCAAAGAGGAGCTCGAGGAAGAACAAAGGTAAGCTGAGTTTCCTTTTTCTTCTTGCCCAAGCCCACCAGATTGACGTGCCCTTGGAGCAAGCTGGCTGTGCTCAGACCTCTCTTCCCCATACTGCTCTGGTAGTCTCAGAGCACCAGTGTTCCAGACCTCTCCCACCCAGGAAGACAAGAGAACAAATGAAGTCACTGATTTAGGAGATGGAGACACTGTGGCCCTATATACTTTTGGAGCTGTTCAAGCTTCTCTGGATGCTTAGACCAAATTTTCCAGCTGATGCTACTGCTGTAGTTCTCCTGATCCCGTTAGTACTATGTTGAATATCTGTTGAGGACCTGATCTGTAGCTACTTCCCCTCCCTTTGCCCTGTGGGTGTTCTCCAAACCAAGGACACGGGCACAGCTCAGAAATACTGGAGTGAAGTGAGTGAGTGTGAGGCTTTAGAGCTCTCTGAGATGGGGCTGACACTGGAAGTGTCCATACCCAGGGCTGTCTCCTCAGTTGAGAGTGGTGAGGATTTGCCATGTAGTGGGCCAGGTAGAGATGGAGGATTGTCCATGTCACACTTTTTCTTTCCTGAAGTGTCCTCCTGAGCCCTGTATGAAGAAAGGAAGAACCTGTCCTGTTACAGAAACCAAGCTCTCTAGCTCAAGATTTCCCAGCCTTTACAAGGGAATAAGCCCACAGCTGAGGGCTCTGTGGCAGGCTGCTTCCTTACAGATGTCTGCAGCTCACACCCCTTCCCTCTTGGGTGAACTCCAAGGAACTGATTTCCCTGTGGTGGCTCAACAAGGGCTGTTGGACTCAATTCTCCTCCCAGTGGTGTGCACCTCCCAGAATGATTTAGGGGCATTTTTCCTTGCCTGTCCTATCGTGGTCTAAGTACCATCCCAGCTGGTGAGGTGTAAAGAACCAAGAGGAAGCTTGAGAGCAGTGGGGAAGGCAATGATGAGGGGATCACACCTCTCCCCTGGCTCAGGCATGTCCTGCCTTGCCTCGAGGCTCTTGGGAATCATCTCTGTGATTCCAGCAGCTGGGCTGGCTGAGTTTAACTCTGTGGTGTGAGCAGGGTGTTGTGGTAGGCAGAGTAAATCCAGAGACCTGACCTCCCCTGGGGACAGCAGAAATGATTCTGCATTGGTGCCATCAGGAAAAAATAGTTTGCTTTCTTTCTTTTGTTATATCTTTATTGTGCCTGAAGCCCCCACCCTATAAAACACTGAGCAGGGCTGTTACTGTCGCTGTATTTTTCATCTGGGAGGGCGGTGATGGAATTAACTGAGTGAAGGTCAGAGACACCCATGGGGCTCAATGGGAATTGCTTTTCAGGATCCTGCTAAACACCAATGGAAAAGCATACCTCCAACTGGCAAATTCAAACTCTTTGCTCCAGCAGCTCCATCCAAACCAGCTGAGCAGTGACTGCTCAGGTTTTCAGGGCCAGAAGTCCTGCAGGTCCTTGGGCTGGTTCCACTGTGGCAACAAATGTCACCTGGGGACACTGAGGGAACATTGCCTATGGACAGCAGTGAGATGGGGGTTTCGTACTCAGGACTGTGCAACAGGCTCCAGAGGGTGATGGACGTGTCCTGGGCACACACCATCTCCCAGGCATCGCTGCTCATGTCTGCTTGGAGCATTCCCAGGGCAGGACAGTGCACCTAGAACTGATGGGCAGTGCCTGGGCTTCGTGTCCCTCGGAGGCTCTCAACAGCCTTCCATGCTGGGGAGCCACACTGGCAGATGTGTTTTTCCTACTGCTCCTTTGTTTTCTTCTCTCCCATATTTGTGTTGTTCATTTCTTTAAGGCAGCTTTGTGAATTTTTTTTTTTTTGTCTTGCTTTGTCACTGGCTTACTTTTCCCCCCCTCAAATCTTCACTGCGGCATCAGCAGCTTTTCATTGCAGGCCTCGCAGGCGGTGCAAGGGGGCAGGGCTGCTGCCAGGTAAGCTCCTGGGCGAGCTGAGCGCAGTGGCTCAGCCTTGTCCTGCACCCTTCTCCTTGTCCTTCCATCCCTCTCCCCCATGCCATGCACCCCGACTGTGCTGCTGACCTGCCGTGACCCAGGTTTGCCGCCTTTATGTTGCAGGATTGAGCTGACCTCTGATCTCACATCTCTGTAGCAAGTACCTTAGGTCCTCGGCCACAAACATTCTTGCAAATCTTTTTGGTAAGGAAATGCTGCTACTTAGAAGTAGTGGTACCACTGGTAACATCTGCTCATGCCTTGGTTTGGTGGTTTGTTTGTTTTTGTTTTTTTTTTTTTTTTTTGCTTTGTTTTGGTTTGGGGTCTTATTTTCTAGGGGAGGGTTTGTTTCTGAGCTGCAGTTGATTGCCTGTCCCACCTCCCTCCCCATGTCCTCCCCTTCCCTCCTCATAACAGATTAATGAGTCTGCTCCTCTCTGCCTCCACCTCATTTTCCATGAGCACTCCAGGGGGAATGAGGGCTCTCACATTGGGATGATCACCTCTTCCATCTTGGATGCCTGAAGTTGGATATCCCACAACCACTTCCTTTTACTGATTGAGAAAATCTGGGCTGCTGATTGGGTCGTTAGTCCTAAGGTGTCTTACTAAAGCTGAAACAGGTTTAGGGTTTGCTTTTAGCCCTGCCACTCCTCCAGTTTTCCCACGGACCAACAGGTTCCCATATGAAGCATCTTGTAAGCAACATTCCAGAAATGCAAGTGGTGCTCCCAGATTCCCTTGAGGCTACTTAATGTGTTGATCAGTAGACTACAAGTCTGAATTTTGGGACCCTTTGTTTTTTGAGATGCCATTGAAAGTATTCCTTGTCTGTTCTAGGAGGAGCTGTAGGATTTCAGACAGGAGAAGATGGACATGCAATAGATTTGTCTATTGAACCAAAAAACCCACTTCTGTTCTAACCTGCATCCCTGCAGAAGTTGTGGTTGTCCTCCCTGGTATTCACTTGAGTCTTGTGGTTTCAAACTGGTGCTAAATCTGGACCTAAAGGGGAAGGAATGTGACCTTTACTGAGTGATGCAACTTCCTGCTTCTGGTGACTTCAGCCTTAGAAAATAAAAGGAGTGCTCAGCGAGGGAGGAGAATAGTAAATCCTGTTGGCAAATACATCTGCTGGGGTGGTGGCTGGGCTTGATGACACCTGGTGGATCACCAGTACTTCTAGAACAGAAGCACGAAGCCTTTGCTTCCCTGGGGGAGAAAAACAGTCTGGGCAGGAAGGGGAAGAGTGCAGGGGAAGGATGCAGCCCTTCGTCAAGGCAGCTCAGTGTATTTCCCTAATCCTTCTCTTCTGCACCTGAGGCTTTTGGCCATCTGTTGCCAACTGTAGCTGCCACGGTGCAATGCTCGTGTGGGTGAGGGAGCAAGAGGAAGGGCTCCCCAGTGTGCCTTCAGGACCTGGGCCTCATGGATAGATTGGAATGGTCTCTGCCAGCTGCTCTTGAAACCTCCCTTAAGGTTGAAGGAGGTTAGTGGTTGTTTTTTTGTTTAGTTAGAAATGAGTATGGTCAGATCTCTGCTGAGCGTTGACAGCTGCAACAAGGCTCCACTCATAGGAAAAGAGAAAACAATGAGGAGAAACCATCCCCTTGGGTCTCTGCCACTCTCCACGAGGCAGAGCAGGTCCCAGCCAAGCCCTGGTTGGCCCCCGTGGTGCTGAGGGTTTGAGCCGTCTGTGCTCTGTCCTTGTCACTCTTGTCCTTGTCCAGGTGTGTTGGCTGGAGCAAGGAGAGCAGATCCCAACTGACAGGCTGTGGAAAGGTCTCACCTCTCTGTCCTCTGTCTTGTTTCTGGGGTTGAGGGAGAGGTGGGAGTGAGGAGCCAGAAGTTGCCCCATGGGGCCTTGGCTAGGGCACTGTTACAGACCCCTTGGACAGGGTGTCAATGACTGGCACCAAACAGGCTCTGCTGTTGGCAGGGGCACTCATGGATGGAGCAGGTGATCCCCCAGACCACAGTCAGCCTCTGTAAGACCAAAGAGAAGGTAGGGATGGCTGCCCTGTTTCCCTGGCTAATGGGCTCAGTTCCCACAGCCAGGTGACCCATTCTAGGAGCAAACTCTCCTCCTGCCTTTCAGTCCTCCCTTCTCACTTCCTGGCCAGCCGTGGATGGGTTGAGGTGACGCTGCTTTAACACAGACTGGGTTTAAGCCTAGGGCTCACCTGCAAGTTTGAATTCATGCAAGGGGAATTGGATGGCTGTAAATCTCATGCTCATCCCTTTTCTTGGTGGTAGCTTAGCAATGGAAACCTGTCTCCTCCTCAGCTGGGCTCAGAGTGCCTCTTGGTTACAAGGCACTGAATAAAACTGGGCTTGGATCCTGGAGTTTCAGCAAGGCAGGGTGCCCTGGGCAAACCCTGGCTCTAGGGAATGGCAGAGAGGAGAGACGGTTCCCTGCTCTGCCAGACATCCTGGATCAGTGGGGATGCAGCTGTGGCTTGAGGGACGACCATGCTGAAGTTCATTTTTGAATGAGACAATGCTGGTGATGACAACTTCGGAGCACAAAAGGGCAGGAAGCAGCTGCAGGGGTTTAATGACTGTGTTGACAGACCTCGACCTATTTCAAACATCTCCACTACTGGCCTTCCAAAAATAAGTGGGTGGACAGGGCTGGAGGAGGCTGCGTTTTGGGAGAGCTGTCCATTGGCATCTGTCCCTGTCCACCCCCTGCATTGCCATCACATAACCCTGGCTCGCTTGCTTGCTCCCCTCTCTGTGTGGCATGAAATCTGGGCCTCTCTCCCCTTCCTTCTCTTTGCTAACCTTCCCCTTACCCAATGGCTTTGTTGTCCTGTCCTGTCCAGTCCTGTCCAGCATGGTGCTTCTTTTGGATGAGGGGAGCTGGTAAGTTTGGGGTTTTATTATTTGTTTGCTTCTCATCTTCTGCAGCACGATAGTTGTCCCAGGCTGAGGGAAGAGGAGCAGCAGCAAGGGGAAGGGAGCAGCAAGGGACTGCAGAGCCCAGGGCTGTGGGACTCTGCAGGTCAGGCTGGCCACTGCTTCATGCAGCCACCAGCCGTGGGGATGGCCC